ATTAATATTTTCATAAATATATTCTAAAGCTATCCTCTTCAACCAATACTCTAAAAAATAATAATAATTTTCACTTCACTGATAACGCAGGCAGCTTTTGCCTTATGGATATATATTATTATTCCAGATGAAAATTCACTTACTAAGCATGACTAAACCCTCCCTAGACCACCCGAGTCCCCAACTTTTGCTTCTTTGTTTTAAAGTTCATTTATTTATTTCTTCCATGAGTCAGTCACATATACACACACATACACAAACACCCCTTCATCAGGGTCCCAATGCCACGACTCTCCCCCAGCTTCAGCCAGCACCTCATTATGGGTACACACGATTCCCATGTACTAAGGGAGGTCTCTAGATGGGAATCGGAATTTTCCCACCTAGGTCAGCTACAGGATATTGCATTTTACCACTGTACCACTACCCTTCCGGCCCCCACTTTGGCTTGTAACAATTTCATTAGTACCTAGCACCCAAGGCCTGGGAATGTTTTCCTGAGCATAACATGCTTTACACGAGCCTGTCTATCTGATCATTATAAAAGAGATGAAAACGATGAGACCTAGAGAGTTTCCTGGCAGCCTTCGTGGGATCATAACAAGACTGGGGCTGAGTAAAGTATTGTTTGACCCCTTTATCCTTTTTTTTTTTTTTTGCTAGAAAGCTAATGCACCCACTGAAGAGAGACACAGAGAGAGGGAGAAGAGACAGCATCCGCCTAAGGAATAGTCACGCTACAACCCTCCTCCTCCATTTCAACATCCTATCAGGGCTTGGGGCACACACATGCACTTGGCACATGTTTCAAGTTGCCAGGTCCAATGCTAGAACAAAGTGGCTGGCCATGTGGGATCTAGCGACCCTAACCACCAGGTCATAGAGCTGGTCTGACCCATTTATCTTCTACTCTCTAGTCTTAAGGTATCATGTTCTTTAGAAAGAAAAACAACACTCATGTCAAAAGAGATGACAAGGGACCAGCAGTTAGTGTAATGGCTATGTTGCTGAATTCCCATGTAATTGACTGCGGTTCGAGTCCCGGACCTGGTGGCTTAAACTCACGCCGAGCACGTGTGCATGCGTGCCCAAGATCCCGAGAGGAGAATGGAGGAGAAGGGACTGCAGGGTGGCCATCCTCCCTGGGGGGTGATTTCTCGCTTTCTGTCTCTCTGTCTCTCTCTGTCTTTCTGGTGAGCGCACACGCCCTATAGCAAAAACCTCTCCAAAGTAAAAAAAAAAGAGAGAGAGATGACAAGTCATGCTTCATCTGTGGTGACATCATTTTGGGTTTAATTCTCCAAAGACTTTGTCCCATATATTTGGAATGTAGATGTGTACTGAGAACTCAAAATCTGTGAAGAACTACCAAGAGCCAGTGGCCTAAGTAGTGGCATTTCGTTCATTTCTTGTTTCTGTGTTCCCAGTGCATAACTGCATAGCCCCTCCCCCGGAGTACAATGGATTCTTTACAAAGCTGCATTGAACAAAGTGAACTCAATTCAGTGCCAGTTCTATCAAAAAAACTATGGCGTGACCCTGGCTAATCCACTTCATCAGAGGCAGGAATGAAAGCAATACCTAGCTCGAGTGGCTACTTCAGGAATGAAATGAGATCACTAATGTGAACCCACTTTGTATACATTAAAAGCTCTATAAATAAGTGGCTATACGATGAAGGTTTTTCTCCATCTGGCTTCTTCTCAAATATCTCCCGATAGTAACAGGTTGAATGGGGAAAGGCAGACCCAGATTTTTCTATTGGCATTCTTCAATTTTTATTAGACTATTACTGTTGCTTCTTTTTCTGATTGTTGTTGATTTTTCACAATTTAGCGTGTGGCCTCTGTTTCACCTTGAATTAAATGTTTTGTGGATCATTTTTCATTCTATAAGTAACTAATGTACCTTCCACAACATTACATTAAATATTTCATTTATTTTATAAAAAGATGACACCCATATGATCTATCACCTTACTGCCCCCATTGCGCCAAGCTGGTATCTCTAGAAACTTTAATCACTTGTTTTTCCCTCTTCTTCAAATCTTACTAATTCCAGCACAAATGATTATTGAGATTTCTTTTTCCTCCTTGATGTATTTCTCCTTTGGTTTGGATATTCTTATTTAGCACTGTTAAACACATTCCTAGTAACTCTATCATTAAATATTTAGGTTTCATTTAATACCTCTAGGTTTATTATTCACCATTGCTACTCATTTTTTATATATCTGATTTTTTTTCCTTTTAGTTAAATATTTTGCTGAAATA